ATGTCCCTGTTTTCTGGGGACAGTCCCTGGATTTACAAATCAGTCCCCATACAAAATCCATTGAAGCTGAAAAGTGTCCCCGGATTCAATGAAAAAAATCTGGTAACCTTACTATATGTAGCCTATAGAATCTGTGAGGGGGGTGAGGTCAGGAAAAGAGAAGAGGAAAGCAAGTCTTCAGCCACCAGTTATGTCTATGCCTTATCCAGAAAGTATAGCCAGAGACATTATGGCAAATTTAAAAAATCCACCTGGGCAGAAATTTTACCCTCAAAAATGAGGATGTGTCCTGGAAAAAGAGGACACATGGCAACCGTACCATCCAACCTCTGCTTAAAAACCTCCAGTGAAGTAAATTCCACCCCTGACCACTCAGCTGCTCCACTGCCCTCCTTGCCCATCCGAAGAACTCCTCCTCCTTCAAGCAATTCCACCCTTCTCCCCTTGTTGCCCCACATGCTTCAAGGACAGGTGCCTCCCCCTTCCCTTAAATCCATCCTCAAAACTCCCCTTTTCTGAGACACCTTTGGCTCACCTTCTGGGCTATATCTGGTGCTAGCGCCGCAGAGAACAGACCCACCAAAGTGAATGAGCACGACTAATGTAGGTCCATTTTCCAAATTATACTGAAGAAGAGAAGAAGAGTTTGGATTTGATATCCCGCCTTTCACTCCCTTTAAGGAGTCTCAAAGCGGCTAACATTCTCCTTTCCCTTCCTCCCCGACAACAAACACTCTGTGAGGTGAGTGGGGCTGAGAGACTTCAAAGAAGCGTGACTGGCCCAAGGTCACCCAGCAGCTGCATGTGGAGGAGCGGAGACGTGAACCCGGTTCCCCAGATTACGAGTCCACCGCTCTAACCACTACACCACACTGGCTCTCCATACTGGGGTGAAGATGGAGGCTGTGCAAACACCACACACCCTCCCCAAATAATCTTGGGAGCTGTAGTTCACTCCCAACAGAGCCAAAGTTCCCAGAATACTTGTGTGTGTGTGTGTGTGTGTGTGTGTGTGTGTATGTGTGTGTGTTGGAATGGGCTTTAGAAGTATGATGTCTGTGCAGCCAAAGTATATGGAATGGAAAAGGACCCAGGTTTCATTTGCTAGTCTCTCCTCTTCCTCTACTGCTTCACCAAGTGGATTGTAAGCTCCTTGGGGGCAGGGACCAGTCCTCTTGGGCTCTGTGAAGTGCCCGGCACTCTAATGGTGCTGTGTAAATAATACCCCATAATGAAGGCAGCACTTTGGGGTTGGCCATTTGGGAGCCACATTCAATTGCATCACACATTTGAATAATTTTAGGGCAAAAACCGAGAGAGGATGAATGGGATCCTCCCATGAATTGTCGACCAGGAAGCTGGAGATGAATGGACCGTTAATTTCAGAGGCAGCCGAGGGAGCTTGATTCATGGCCTGCTTTTATTCCAGAGCTTCCATTGTCTTTGCAAACTGACGTTTTGCTGCAAGAAGCCAGCTGGCACACAAAGGGACGAGGCGTCTGCAGTTTGGCTCCTGACACATCCAAGAAACCCAGCGGCAATATCTCACCCACAACAATTCTAGGTCTCTGCCTTCCCAGGGGATGGAGCTGGCACCTTCCCCTTGGCCCCGTGGCAGCTTCCCGGCCACACAGGTGTACTGACGCATGCCGTACCTGTTGGATTTCTGCCCGCCGTGGAGCTGTCCAAAGTGTAGAGCTTCACTTGGCAGCCTTATTGAGAAGGAGGCGTGTTTCCTGGCACTGCTGGATGACTTGGGAATAAAGCCAATGGGGTCATCCCTGGTTCTTAGAGGTGTCTCGTCTCAGCAGGCTCCTGCCTGCCAGATGCGATCCAGGTTTCCCTCAAACCAAGGTGTGTGCAGCTTGATCACTTGGTTGGACAAACTGCCTGATCAGCAGGCCAAGGGGACTGGGAGGTCAGAAGGGAGAGAGACCAATAACAGGGGGCACCAGAGCCAATGGTGGGCATAGGAACATAATTCCATAAGCCTGACCAAAGTGAGTAGAGCCATCCTAATGAAGCTGCCAGATGGGCGGGGTATAAATAATAAATTATTTTATGTTATTATTTAAATGATATGCCTCCACTGCCACAGGTCCCTGCCTGGGATTCAGATTGCAGTAGTATTTTAACTTGTGTTGAGGGATCTCATGTATGAATGAGCCACTGGGTCACTTGGGAATGTGTGTGACCTGTTCTGATCCCTGAATTGGAGGGAGTTGGGCTGGGTGATCACTGGGCATTGCTGTCAACTTTTTCCTTTTCTTACAAGGAATCCTATTCGGAATAAGGGAATTTCCCTTTTAAAATGGGAAACATTGACAGCTATGGCACTGGGGTCCCTTCCAACTCTACCGTTCCGTGATTCTATGGGCAAAAGACAAAAACTCACATCTAGTTCAGGAATGAGAGGCGGTTTAGGACACCCTCTCTGCCCCACCGTCACCCAACATCTTGATTTGACTCAGGGCTCGAACCTGAGAACGTGTGAAATTAGTTTTGTTGAGGTTCCTTTAATTGCTGTTAAGGAAAATCTGGTGAATGGGCTTCCTTTATCTTGCACCTACAGGTTTTGTAATTAGTTTGAAGGTCACTGACCTGGCCACCAGCCAAGTAGGTCACTGTGATCTGGCCACTGTCAAAGGGTGTGGTCATTCTTGGGTCTATTAAGAGGGGGCTGAACACGTCCTCTTTGCTTCGCTGAGAGAAAGCTCTGCCAGATTGGTGCTGAGCTCTGTGCTGTATGTATGCTTTGAGTCGTACTTGCTTTGCATTTGTGGCCTGAAGCTTCCACTAGGGATCATGGGGAATCCTGTATATAGGGAAACTGCCTTAACGATTTGGACCTGCCAGTAAAGGACTGAACGGTCTGAAGAATTGGAGTCTGACTGAATCTCTTCCAGCACAAAACGGCACTGCCACAAACCTACACACTTGGGGAGCTGCACACACCATACGCCGGCGAGTTTGTTATCAAGGGTTAAGCAGAAGGGGCCTCTGAGCATGAGCAGAGTCCTTTCCTCTCTCAGCTGAGAAACCATGGCATCAGAGATTAAGATGGTGGGCCTCGCCACCTCCTGGGTGAGGGAGTTCCATAGTTTAACTACGTCTTGCAGGAAGAAGAGCTTCCTTTTACCCGACCTGAACCTTCCAACCTAAAAGACTTGCAGCTGAATCTGATCACATTTCAAACCTCCCTTTGAAATTGATAGCAAGCTTCTCTGGAAGATAACAAAATTGATGGCTGCAAATGAGATTGACTCAGGTGCCTCAGTCCTGTCACCTAGGAGCCATGTCCTGAGATTTGGGAAGCAATAGGTGCTCTGCACATGCCCTGGTGTCTCTTAAGACCACGCCCCTTCTCTATTCGTTCTTCTCTGTTTTTCTTTTACCCACCACAAGCCTGATGAGAGTCCTGATGCCCCAAACTGGCCTAACTCTGCTAAGGTTTACCTGAAATTCAGCTCTCCAACCAAGCCAAGAAAAAGCCCTCTGGAGCCAGTGTTCTTTAGTGCAGCAAATGTCCTGAGATGAATAAACTTTGGGATCGATGGAAAACTGTTAGCTCTTTTAAACACCTCTTTTTAAAAATAGGCAGCCCTGTCTGTTTTCTCTGGCTGGCTGCCTAGAATGGAACACAGTTTTCCAAATGGGATTTTACCTGTGCTGGAGAAAGCAAGGTGGTTACATCCTGTACCTTGGGAGCATCTATTTCTGAGGCTGCAACCTAAACACCCTTGGCCTTTTGAGCTGCAGGATCACATTGCTGGCTCCTGTTCCATTTGTTCTGCACCAGCCCCTTCCCACTTTCCTTGCAAGTGCTGCTGCACAGACAGACGGCGATCTCTCACATTATCCTTGGGCACCAGGCTCTCCTCTGTAGCACAACACACTTCACAAGTGTCTCTGGTGCACGTCACGTTCTGCTGTCTGCACAGCTGTCCTGTTGGGTGATATCATCTATTCTCACAAAGGAATCCCACACAAACCGTCTATGGATCAATATGTTGCCCTTTCCTCCAGCATTCTGCTTCTGTCACCACTCTTTGGATTATTAAAATTATTATTCTTTATTAAATGTATATATCACCCGCAGGCCCCAGGGCAGTTCACAGGATAAAATACAGAACAAAAACAACCAAATAACCCCCCCAACACATTTTAAAAGGGCATAGGATGTCAATCAATCACAGGCCTGGTTTGCTCCATCTGGCTAAGCTCCTTGCATCCTCTTTACCCAAACATGCGTGGCACCCAGTTATCTTTCCCTGACCTCCTGGTGACATTGATATCCTCACTGGTAACCAGGACCCTGCCTTGGCTCCTCTACTGGCCCCCACTCCACCCAGCCACCAACACAGCTTTAATTCCTAGGGGGCTTTTCTTCAGGCACAAATATCTTTGGATCCCCTTTACCTACTGGATGCAGAATTATATTATTTCCATCTCCCTGAATTCTTCATTCATCAGACAATGAGAGAGATGCCTTTTGGTGAGTCTGCAGTTCAGAGAGATCGCTGCAGAAGCGTGTGTGTGTTGGGTGGTGAGGTATTCTGTGCTCCTGTTCTCAAAACAAGCAACTGCCCCTTCAGAATAGAATGATGGGGTTTTCATTGATTTTTTTTGGCCACCAACGTGAAGTATGGGAAGGAAAAGATAAATCTGAAGTGCTGCAGACTCAGGTCAGAAGGCTGCTTGGCTGGGATGCTGCCCACAGATCGGGCTCTGTGTATTCCGGGTGTCAAGGAGCAGAGTTAAGGCACTGCACCCTTTCACACAGAATTAAGGTGTTGCGCCCACTCCTACCTCCACCCCCTGAACTTCGCGTTCCCCGGCTGTGTAGCTTTTACACCCAGAATTTGTTTCCTTTTGATGACTTTCCTGTGGACCAGACAAAATGCAATGGGCAGTGAGAGAGAGGCAGGCACCAACTCAGGCGGAAGCTTTTGCTCTGCTCGGTGTCCTCTCCTGTGTGGACACTTGCCTTTTGGGGAAGGGCCATGGCTCAGTGGTTAGAGCACCTGCCTTGCATGCAGAAGGGCCCAGGATCAATCCCCAGTAGCATCTCTAGGTATGGGGAGGGGACGATACTCCTTGTCTGAAACCATGGAGAGCTGCTGCCAGTCAGTGCAGGCAAAATGAGCTGGATAGACGAATGATCTGACTCAGTGTAAGGCAGCTTCCTATAAACCTCTTGCCCCTGCCCAGGATGCCCAAGGCCCCCTGGCATGGAGGGTTGCCCACATGGGCACAATTCTGGTGCCCTCTTTTCTTTCAAACCAAGCAGCCCTATGACCTGGGAGGCTTTGAGGGGGTGGGGAGTAGTGGTTAGCGGTAGTGCAAAGTGGATTTGGATCTTTTCTATGCGAGGGACCATGCCTTGTGGGGAAGGCTTTGAGAAGGGCTTCATTCCTCATGGCAAAAGGCAGGCAGCCTCAGCTTCTCAACTCTGCCCATGGCCAGGAGCGCTGCAGTGGCTGCCCGACCAACAGAGCCTGCTTGTGAAACCAGCAGCCGGCCCCTCGCTCACCTTGACCAGCTGCTCTTGCGTCACAACAAGGGATCCTCCACCCCTTTCGCACGACACATTGCAGGGGGCATGTTCGTGCCACTTCCCTCTCGCAGCACGATGCCAGCCTCAGGCCAGAGATGCATCTCAATGATGCAGCCCACCCAAAACTCAGCCACGTCTCTCTGCGACCCACCCAGCCTGCACTGCCCCTTCCTAGGAGGGTTCTCTGCTTATGCAGTCTGTGCGACACCCAGCATGCAAAAGAACCCGCTTTCCAGTTATGATTTATTACTTTGGAAGTGTCAGCCGGGGGCATGATGATGGTCAAATGCAGTTTTTTTTAAAGGTCTCAATCCAGGTCAGTCCCTGGAGCCAGGACAGCATCCATCGCACCTCCCACCTTAATTAAGCATCCTTAATCCCGGGGGTCCTCTCTGGACCAAGACTCTCCTTAGATAGCCCTGCCCCCTCACTTTCTCGTAGGCACTGGGTCCCACCTGCCTTCCAGAGACCCCTGGACCAGCGCTTCCCCACCCTGTCTGCAGAGGGCAGGGCTCCGCAAAACGACCCTCCCCCCCTGCCCTGTTGCGATCCGCTCACCTGAGGTGGTCTGCCTCGGTTCCACACCTAACAAGCTGCCCACTCCAAGCCCATCACCGTGGTCGCCCTTGCATCGAGAGAGGCACCGCCGCTGCACTCCTCAGAGATGCGGGCTGGGATGCCGAGGCTGGTACCCAAGAGGAGGGATGCTGCGCGCTCTCTCCGGGAGATGCAGGGCGGAGAGAGGGCAGGGCGGTACCCCGGAGCGCTTTCCGAGGATGGGAGCAGCAGCAGGAGAGGACAGCCCAGGAAAGGAGCCGCGGCGGGCAGGCTCCGAGGACGCTGGTACCCAAGGACCGCTCTCTCTCCAAGGATGCAGGAGGGATGCAGCGGCGGGGGAGCGAGAGGGATGCGCAAGGAAGGGAAGGGAGCCAGACCACCAACTCCGCCTGCTCCGGGCTTCCTGCACCAGTCAGTCCCCAGCCTGCCTCTCTCTCCTCCCCGCCTGGAAAGGAAGCTGCTTTTGCTGGGAAGCACTAATGACACCCGCCCCCCCCCGTCTCAACCCAGCCCCTCCCTGAGCTCCCTCATTCGCTGAGAACTGCGGATTCTGCGCCAGTTCCCTGCCCGCCGCCGGAGAGGGAAAGGCAGCTTCGAGCGGGCTCCGCTTCCCGCAGGACAAACACTCCCCACCCCACTCCGCCCCACCACGCCCCACGCCCCCTCCTCCTCCTCCAGCCCCAGATCTGTCTAGGTTGTTTCCCCAGTCTGGAGGGGGCTGGGGAGGAGAGGGGATGGAGCTACATCCTAACTCCCACCCGCGTGTTGACAGTCAGGCTCTGGCGGAACTGTGGCCTGGGGGGCGGGAGGGGGGCGGCAGACTGCAGCGCGGGGCGCCACGTGGCAAGAGGAGCCCCCCCGGAAGGCACAGCTCCATCCTCCTGACTGGACCATGTCTGCAGCCCTGGCCTTGGGAGAGGGAGGTGTCCCTGCGATTTCGGAAAGGGACACTCAAAGCCCATGCAAGCAGCCCCAGGAAGTCTCTCCAGGCCACTTTGCACACAGCGTTTGATTTGCAGAAGGCCATCCTTTCCCATACCCCCCTCCCCGTCAAAAAGTTTTTGTTTTTTTTATGGAAATGTAGTGGCAGCGATGGGGAACATCTGTGTGTGGGGGGCCTCCTGATGTGGTTGGACTCCAGCTTCCACTCTCCCCCAGCAGCCAGCATGGTCAGGGGACGATGGGTGTTGTAGTTCAGTAACACCTGGGGAGCCCCTGTAGATCCCCCACCCCAGGGACTGGGGCTTAAGTCAGTCTCAACAGCTTGCCAGTTCTAGTTGTGTGTGCATTTGGTGGTGAGGGACTCACAAGTTGCACATGGTCAGCTGTGTGGTATTTTAATAGCTAGCTCTGGCATCAATAAATTATTCTGGGGCCAAAACCTGGCTAAGATCTAGCCCCTTTCTTCTGGCTCCCCTCTGACCTTGTTCAGATTTCATTTTTAATAACCCAGCCTTTCTCCAAGGGTCTAATGATTCCACCTCCCCTCACAGCAGCCCTGTGAGGTAGGCTGAGGCGAGAGGGAGTGCCTGGCTCAAGGTCCCCTTGTGAGCTTCATAATTGTGCTGGGCCCAGGGGTAACCCGTGAAACGCGGTCCAGGTCCGGTCCGAATCCAAGGGTTCCGTGAGGAGTCAGTCCGACAGGGCCAAGGCAGTACATGAGGCAGGAAACCAGGCAAGGACAGGTACAGGATCTCAGGCAGGTTCTGGCAAACAGCAACATTGCTCCCATAACCTGGGGCGGGGTCCGACAGCCTTTTATCTCTGTCGGTGTAGCGGCTGGTCCTGATCCCCTGGTGACTCATCTCCCTGTTTCACCTGAAGGTGAGCACTCCTCCTGCAAGTACTCAGGTATCTCCTTCTCTCAGACCTGAGTCCCTACAGCTCGGGAGACGTCGGTGGGTTACTAGACCCAGGGGCCACCTCAGCCTCCCCTGACCCAACCGGTAGTGGAGCAGCTGTAAGTGATGGCCCAGCTGGAGGCAACGAGGTCATCCCTGCATCTGGAGCCAGTACAGGCTTCAGCCCCTGACTTGGCCCAGCTGGTGCTTGTTGCAGGGGAACCTGTGCAGACTGGGACTCTTCAGGATCAGGCCCCAGACTTGGTTCAGGTGATGCCTGAGGCAAAGGATCCGGTGCAGACTGAGACTCCTCTGGCTCTGAGTCTGAGCCCCAGTCCCAGGTCATCACTAATGGAGAGAGAACATGGACTTAGGTCCCTGCAGCCCTAGGCTGACATCACCCTCCACTTCCATTCTGGGGTGTGATCCTGTCCTCTTTGAGCTCAGAATGAAAATGTTTCTGTCCCTAATTCTGGGCGAGGTACATGGCAGCTTCGCATTTGGCTAGAGAACAAGGTGGGGCTGGAGTTTGAAAGCTTAGAGGTTCCTTTAATGCCACATATATGGAGCAGAATTACAACTATCTAGTGCTTTGCTGCAGCTGAGAGGAGATGTAACAGATGTTGAAAGAATATGAGTGATCTGTAGCACGGGTAATTATAATATTAGTCACTTATAAAGAACGAAATCGATACGCAACAGGATTTGTTCTAGAAGACAATGGTTGACAATGAATGTGTATATAAATATTGTCATCTGTTTTGTATGCTAGAATAAGAGACCTGCTGGATTAGGCCAGTGGCCCATCTAGGCCAGGATCCTGTTCCCACAATGGCCAACCAGATGACCCTTTGGGAAGCCCAGAGTGTGAGAGTGGCACTCTCTCCAGCTGAAACTGCCCACAAGTGGTATTCAGAAGCATTATGGCTTCTGGCTGCGGAGTAAAGGCAGGAAGGAAAGGGCCAACATGGAATGCCTCATGGATCAGTATCTCGGCCTTCGCCGTGTTTTGTTCCTGGGGATTTTATACCCAGTTGCCCTGGGTTTGTCATCGGCAAACACAACTTTCATAGAACTGCAGAGTTGAAAGGGACCCCGCCCATGTTGAAAGAGCCCCGACAGATGGACACCCAACTTTTCAGGTTTTTTAAAAGCCTCCAATGAAGGGGAGTCCGCCCGCTTCGAAGGGAGTCTATTTCATGATTGACTTGCAGTCTCCTTTCTTGTAACTTGAATCCCTTGGTTTGAATTCATCCCATTTTCCAGAGCAGTTGGAAACAAGCTTGCTCCATCTTCCATGTGACAGTCCTATGACTCGTATATCTTCTTTTCTCAAGGCTAAACATACCCAAATGCCTCAACCATTCCTCATATGGCTTATTTTCCAGACCCTTGGTCATCTTGGTTGCCCTCCTCTGCACACCTTCCAGTCCCAGACTGGTTTGTGGCAGTGGAGAATGAGATGGTCCCTCTGTCAAAGGCACACACGATGCCTATAAATGAGCAACCGAAGACTCCAGCAAAGTATCTCTGTGCAACACAGTGAAGTTTTAATAATTTCTTTCAGCCCTCTGTTCGTAACCGCATGAGGCAGCTGTTTCCTCCGCTGACAGTTCTCTGGAGACCCTTATTAGCAATATCTCTCTTGCCACAGCTTTGCTTGTTTTATCCCCTCCCTCCCCAACTAAAATATCCCCTGACATCTCCTGCCTTTTTGCCATTTAATTAAGATTATGGTGAGGGAGGCAGCCGTCCCCTCTTGGTTCAGCCGGGCAACTCTCATCTGGTTTGCAGAATCTCTGCTCCAGCTTCTTGCCACTGCCCGTCATCACAGCATCCAGTCAGACAGGCAGCTACAGATGAAGGCAAGCTGTGGGCAAAGATCAGCCTCACTGATGTAAGATCCGCCCCCCCCCCCATTCCGGCTGTGAATGAAACAGGGACTATTAATTATTTTGCTTTATCTCGCTTCCTCACCATGTTCCTGCTTGCGGTGACTCTCGCTCTCTTGCCGACGACAGGGTTCTTTGCTAGTTGGCCAAAGGGGACCTCAGAGCCCAACTCAAACCGGCGATGTGAGGAACAGCAAAACACACCGCCAGCCCATCTGGGCT